GCCCTTCTCCACGGCTGCCTGAGCTAGCGGCCGAGCGCAGCCCGAAATCACGGGCAGGCAGGTTTCACAGCTTCCCCCCACCAAGCCTTGGCGTTTTAATCTCCTTTTACCGCTTTCATTTCCGTCTGTGCTGGGGTTGGTGTTTTTAAGCACGAGCCTGTGAGGGATTTCAGGTGACACTTGAACTAAATCTTATTCCACGCGTGTGAAGGGAGAGATTTATCGGCCCACGTTTGACAGCAAAGCGAGGAGCAGCTGGGACCGCTTGAAATTCATCTCTCTCCCGTCAGCACCGTGAGAGCTCAGCGTGACGGGTATAAATCGCGGGCTGTGTTTTTCCCCCCCATTAGACTCTACTCAGCCACAAACTACCTCAATAAATCACAAGCACCCGCCACGGATCATGTCCGCGTCCCCGCGGACAGGCCGGGCCGGAAAGGGGCTCCCCCGGGCTCAGCTCAGCTCAGCAGCGTCCCACCGCGCCGCGCCGGGCTGCAGAGGAAACCCAGAAGGGGCAACACAGGGCCGAACGCTGCCGGAGGGACGCAGGGAGCGTGAGAAGAGTTTCAGAAGCACAGGTTGGAGCCCGAGGTTTCGTCAGCACCCACCGAGCTGGCCTGCAGACGCCTCTCCCACCCACCAGCAGGACACCAGGGCAGACAAGTGTATGGGTGCATGTGAATTCCTGAGGGGGATGAGTGTGATTTCCACCTGATGTGCCATCCAGGCCTGCCACAGGGGCAGCAGGATCCCCAGCACTCAGGAGAGACTTGGCCGGTACCCCCACCCCACATAGGGTCTCCCCCTGGTGCAGCTCCCCTGCACGGATGGGCGCTGAGCCCAAGGACCAACCACCCCAGACCCTGGGGTGCCTGAGCTGGGCCTGGGTTAGTACTGGAGGGTTAGCAAACCCACCCTCTCCGCTCTTGGCTCAACAGGGGGAGATCACCACGCCACAGGTTTCACATCAGGTTTCACAGCTGCAGCGGGAAACAGCTGATCTCCCAGCCCCCAGCAGTTTACAGGCATGGATAATCATTCTGGCATAATTACCAGCTTACTCCCTTGGAGGAATTCACTGGTGAGAAGTCACTAGGAGCTAATTACTCCAATTACTCCCCGACACACAGAGCCAGCAGGCAGAGCTTTCTGCAGGAGCAGGGCTCCCCGCCGCCAAGTCCCCCGTGCCTTCCCAGGCAGGTACCCATGGCTCACCCGGGGAGGCAGTTCCCCGGGTGTGCTGGGGGTGCACAGCTGGCTCCTTCCCTCACCCTCGCTCCCATCCTTCTGGGATGGTGCACCCAGTACCTGGCTGCTCTCCCCTACTGGACTACAGGTCTCTTTCCCCACTGTGGATTTTCAGAGGGGGGATTGGTGGCAGTGAGAGCTTGGCATCGCTTCCAATCCCAGTGCCAACAGAGTAGCCCACTGCCACCAGTGACAAGTAGCTAAATGCTTTCTTAAGAGATGCCTAACCGCTCCATCACATAGCTCAGGCCCCAGGAGTACCCTGAGCACCTATTTCTCTTGCAAGTTGATGCAGAAGAGAGCTTGGAGGGGCTTTCTACCATAGGTCCCCTCTGCCTACAAGGCTACTGGGTAAAGCTAGGCTATTTCAGGGCTGCAGCAGGCTGCGAGAGGCCTGACAGAGGAGGGTGCTGGAGCCACACACTACACCCTCGCAACCACAAGCACTGCTGCTACAGCACAGAGCTGCATCCAGCCACACCTCTGACCTGTGACACAGCTCCTGGCCTCTCAGTGGGCAGCACAGACCCTGCCAGGCCTCCAGAGCATGGTGTAGCACTCCATGCCTCTGCCCCATCACATCCTCACCCCACAAGCAGTCAGCAGCTTCCTCCCATTCTTGTGTTAGGCCCACAGTAGCACACAGCAGTTGAGAGCTAAACTCATCTGCTCTCTGCAGGAGACCCCTGCACAGAGACACGCGCACTGTGCGCTGGGCTGACCGTTAGCTCTGGCAGAGCCCAGTAAGGCCCTGCAGCCCAGGGGCAACAGGCAGCAACTGGAGAAGCAATTCAGGCAGTTGTCATCCCCAGTCCTGCCTTTCCTGGAGGTAGCCTTTGGCAAGCAGATGCCCTGTGGTCTTGCCAGTCTGAGTAGGCAGGAAAGGACCCTCACAGTAGCACGGCCTAAGGTGTGCACAGGCCCTCTCTGCTCATAGTGTGTCACTTTGCCCATAGGCCAGTTTTAAAAAAAGAGATAGGGAGAGGGGAACAAAACCTTGCCCAAAAAGCATGCATGCAAGACAGACACCACACAGTACTAGGAGTGGAAGAGTCTTTATTGCTTTAAATTCTTACAAGTCAGATGTATTCATCCATGTTTGCCATAGGCTTGCTGCAAGGAGACACCCACATCGCATTCAGCTTGTGGTATGGCTCAGGGAAAGCAGGGACTCTGTACCCACAAGCTTTGGTCTCTCTATCCCACAGCAGGCTGACACCTTCTCCCAGGCGAGAAGGGAGCCAAATGAAATAAGGCTGACGCCAGCTGTGAGAGAGTTAAGGGTCACATGAAGGTTACTGCTGCAAGAGCAGAAGGGTCAGGTACAGTTTCTCCAGTGCCTACAAAGGACACCAGTTCCCAGCTTATCAAGGGAACCTAATGTGCTCCCAGCAGACTACAGAACAAATCCCCTCCTCTGCCAGCCTCTGGTCCCTCTGGGGAAGATCAGGGCAACCAGAGGCAGGTGCTAAAATCCAGAAAACCAAGCTGACATCAGTGCTGACCCTAAGTTAAGCCTTTATTCTCTCATTAGCTAGGAGGAGTACAAGCAGATTAAAGATACTGCTCCCCTAAAGCTGGGCCCTCCTCGAGATCTCTCCTCACCCACAGTTTAATCAACACTACTGTGCTTGCTGAAGGGAGGCTGGGCACCTCCATGCTTGGTTCTGCATATCCATATTACTCACTCAAGCACACCCCCAAGGCAGAGAGGCCTTCAAGTCCTCTGCCTCAACTACAGACTAGAGCCTGACAGCATCCTGTGACACTTACGCAGGACTGTCTCTCCTGCTCACCCTCTGAGCACCAGGAGAGGACAAGACCACTCTGCCCCTCTCCTTTGGGGCAGCTCAGACAGACCAGTGCCTTCCTTCCACTCCTCCCATCTCTGGGAATGGGCACTGTGCAGATGCTCCCATACCTGATCGAGCCACACAGAAAAGAAAACCAGAGACTAGGAACAAAAAAAACCAAACCAAACAGGAACAAAAGCTAGAACTGGGCTATGACCCAGACACCCCACCAGAGAGCCAAAGGACACGTCAGCAGAGAAGCTGTGGCTGAGCCAGCTGGCAAGCAGTGCTCACGCATCCACGAGAGTCAGCCCATCGTGCAGGGCACGCTTCCACATGTAGTAGGTGGAGCGGGCTGTGAGGGGGAAGCGGGCACTGAATTCTTTGTAGGTGGGGAAGGTCTTCGATTCAAAGCGCTGCTGCAGGAACAGCTTGGCTTGTGCCTTGAACTGGGCAGTGGCAATCACATCCATCACAAACATCCGACTGTTGGCTCTCTCTGACATGGCATAGCCTGAAACAGTGGCATTGTATGGAGTGGCTGGTGCTAGCTTGTGCAGACGCTTGGTAGCCATCTCCATTGGGAATTGGGGCTTGAGGCTTGCCTCAGCTCTCTGAGGTGCCAGGGAAGTAACCTGGTTCAACGGCTGGCAGGAACTGGTCCAGGGCAAGCGATGCTGGTTGAGGGCCCGGCTGCTGCCCTTCCAAAACCAGTAGGCTGTGGAGGAGAGAGCTGGGTAGCGCAGGCGGAACTTGCAGAATGGCAGCAGCCAGTGCTGGGCTTGCCTCTTGGCCCTATCTCGCAGCTGCTTTCTCCAGCACAGGGAGGGTTTGAGCTGCAGGAGACTCCTGGGCGCTGGCCGGTGTCCATTCAGCCTCTTCCTAACAGGTAAGCCTCTTGGCTTCATTTGCAGGAATGGCTTTCCTATCACTAGAGGTTTCTGGTTATCCAAGGGAGACTGGGGGGGTTTGAAGTTGGGGTTCTCCTTGATTGCTTTTCTTCTCCAGTTGTAGTAAGTGGACCTGGAGATGCCAGGGAAGCTGCGCTTGAAGCACCTGTAAGGCACCAGAGTGTTCATGGAAATACATTTCTCCAGGTAGGATTTAGCTCCTTGCATGAAGATCCCTGCTTGAATGGGGTCTAGAGAAGGACTCTGAGATCTTAAGCTTCTGCCTGAATTTGCTGGCTCATCCACATCAGCCTTTTTTGGGCCATCCCTGTGAAGCTCCTGCAACCCCTGGGCCTCAGCCAGGGCAGAGGCATCACCATTGACCATGCTCTGCATCTCATGCTTCCAGGCATAGTAGGTGGATCGGGAGATTTCTGGAAACATTTGTCGAAAGTGCTGGAGGGGGATTATATTGCCCTCTTGAAAGCAAGACTGAAGGAAGTGTTTGGCTGCAAATCTGGCAGCAGCTTTTTGGCGGTGTTCACGAGACTGGCGCTTCCAGCGGTAGAAGGTGCTCTTGGTAATGCTGTACCTGTCACGCAGGTTGGAGTAGGTCAGTTGGGGGTCACTGTTCAGCAGCTCCAGGGTCTTCATGGGCTGGACAGGAGGCTCTGGCAAAGGTGTAGTGGGTTCTAGCTCCTCCAGGCCAACCACAGCCACAAAGTACTGTGCTTTGAAGACCTGCCTGGAGAGCTGCTGCCCTGACCACATGATGTGGAGCGTGGAGGTTCGTGGGCCACACTTCCTGGGCCGGATGAGCCGGTTGAAGTATGGCCGTATCTTCAAGTTGCTCATGGGGTAGATGGAGTAGATGTTACACTGCAGTACCGAGGCAAGAGCATAGACGTGCCACATGTTGGCAAAGGTGCCAGGAAAACAAGTAGCCTTGATGTCGGCATCGAAGATAGCCTCCAGGATAGCCATGGGGAGGCTAGTCATCTCTGGAGATTCCTCAGTGCAGAGGGAGTAGCGGGCAGCCTGCAGCATCACTTTGGAGTCAATCATGCCATTCAAGTAATACTGCTTGTGTAGCAGCATCTCCACAACTGTACGCACCTGCAGCTCCAGGCTCAGGCTGGTATTGCCCCAGAGCAGCACACTGGCTGCCTCAAAGAGGCGGTTCCCCTCTCCTTTGCAAACCAGAGGCAGCATGTTGCTTGGGGCATCCTCAGGATAGAGGCTCCTAGCTACACGGTCAACTTCCAGCTCCTCTTGGAACTGTCTCCCGCAATAGCCAGGCAGGGAGAAAGATGACAGGGTCCTCTCAGCCTCCAACACAGCACTGGTGAGGCCCTCCAGACCAAAGCATTCAGTGGCTTCCTGAAGCTCCTGCAGCACAGACTGCACCAGCTGGTGCCGCTGGATCATCCTGAGGAAAGGCAAAAAGAAGAGTCATCGGAGGCCAAGACAGTGCACGCTCCAGACTACCAGAGGCCAGGCCTCCAGGTCCAGCTCCTTCTGAAGGGCCAGGAAGGCTGGGTGAGGCAGGAGGGGGGAAAAGGGCCTCCACTCTCCCTCATTCCCAGGATACAGGGAGAAGCCCAAGTCCCTGCAGGCAGATCTGGCACAGGGACACCAGCTCGACCTGCTCTCCAGTGACCTCCTGTGGGCAGAATGCACAGCACACAGCCTCCAGAGACACTTGTCTGGAATGAAGGAGCAAGCAAGCCCACCCTCTACCTCCTGCACACCTGGCTTTGTGCTCAGCCTCACCCCTGCACTTGGCTCTCCCACAAGTAGGGGCTCTGTCCCTTACATTTTTACCACCTCTCTGCCAGCACCCAGAGCCAGCAGAGAACAGGGCCTGGAAAGGAAGCGTTTGTCACTTCTGTAGTAAGCCATCTGTGACAGCAACACCATGCAGGACTGCTCAGGGCATGGAGGAAGCTGACTTCAAGGCGGAAAGTCCAATAGAAAAAGGAGCAAGGAGCTTTCTCCCTTCTTCAAAGCAGGGCACAGAGGCATTTTTGCAGCTACAACCACTGTGTGCATCTACGACAACTGTTACAGAAAATCAGAGATGGGATGAACAGCCCAAACCAACCCAAGTGTTACTGTTACCTGAACTGACACTAGGTGTCACTTGCTGCTCAGCAGAGACAACCACCAGCCAGGGAGAAGGGGCAAGAGGAGGCTGCCCCCAAAAGCACTGTCAGTGGCAGAGGCAAAGAAGCCTTGACAGGCCCCAACTGAAACTCACTCCCAGACAACCCATCAGTGCAGAGGGAGCACATGTGTGTGCACTGGGTGGGTAGTTCAGAAGCTGCATGGAGCTCCTTTCCTTCCCCATCCCAACACTGTCCTCCCTCCTCCTCCTGCAGGCCAAGTCCCACTTAGACAACCTGAAGGGCCAAGCCTACATCCCCCCTTTGTCGACTTTGGTCCCAACACCCACACATCTCCGCCTCAATCACTCGAGGAGCTCCTTACCCAATGGATCAGCTCCATCAGTGTATCTTCAGCACTTTTCACCACAATAGGTCAGGCTCCTCACCCCTGCCAGCCCAGCCTCTCCCATTCCCATCAGCCCTGCTCACAGCAACCATCACTTCACTCAGCAGGGCAGTCCTTTCTAGTCCGTTTTCTGCTAATGGATAGCCCTGCCTCTTCATGTGCCATCCCCAACATGCAGGTCACTTTGTAATTAGGCTACCTTATTCCTACCCCTGCTGAAGACCCACCTTTTCACAACACTTCGTGGGTATCGTTGTACACCCACAACTGTGCAAGGAGATGGGGAAACAGCAGCACTAGGCAGGAAAAGCAACAGTTCTAAAGTAAAACAAAGGTCCTGCCTGAGCTTTCCCGACTTTCAGTCCTGGGCCCTACTGTAGATCATGTTACCACTGCTCTAAAATCTACAATCCCCAGCTGTGACCAAACATCAAATAAAACAAGGTGCTAAATAATCACACTGCTGCATCCCGGCTACTTCACCGCAAGGAGACCTCTGAGCTATTACTGACCCTTGTCTTTAATCGGTCCACAGCTAGTCACTAAATCAATTCCCTTCCCCTATTTCAAGTTCCTCCATGGTCTCCTTTAGGGTGGTGTGCAGAAGTCAGGGCCTTCTCTTACAGCTGTTCTCACATCTGTGGTACATCAGGTATCAGAGAAACAATACAGAAGAGCCAAAGCTGTGAAGCAGAGAGAGATTTGTCCTATTGTTCTGGTCCAAGTGAGTTTGTAGTTGTCACTTGGGGCCAGGTGTTTTTTGTTCTCCTGGAAGTTCATAGACACTTACTCTGCAGAGCAACATTTTGATTAAGCCCACGGTGAACAATGTGTGCTTGAGGAGCAGAAACAAGAGGATCCTTCAGTGCATAAAGCTAGGAAGAGAGCTGCAAGTACAGGCAGAGCTCAAGTCCTCAATCTCCATGGCCTGCCAAACCCTTTCAGGGCTTGCGACATCCCACCGCTGTGGCAGCCTCCCCTTTCAACCCACGCAGCCAGGCCGAGCATGTTGCCCCTACCACAAGGGCAAGGAAAAGGCAATACAAGGTGCTCCCTTGGAAGGGGTGAGGGGATGACACAGGCCAAGGGGCATCAGGAACATACTTGGTCTTTATGGCCTGATGGGCATTTC